CGCCCACATTTTGCAGCCCATTTTCAGTTAGAGGAAGCCAGGTTATTAGCTCTGTGAATGGGCTGTGAGCTGAGGTGAGGTATGTCAATTTAGGAGCAAAGAATTTTGAAAGACAGCATGTAACACTTTAGCCTTTTATTCCCAGCCTGGGTTACCATGATGTCTTCATATTCCAGGTAGTGCATCTGTAAGATAGTGGTGAAATAATCAACACTAAAGCTTTTCACAAAATCACTCCTTAAAAGAGGTAGGAAAGCATGCTTGCTAAGACTCCACCTTCACCCTTCCTCTTCATGCATCATCCACTCACCTTATTGGGCAAAGCTGCATCAATCTCCTTCTGCAGTTTCTGCTGAACATCAGGATGGATGGCCAATAAATACATAATGAAGGAAAGAGCAGTACCAGTGGCCTCATAGCCAGCAAAAATAAAGATAATCGATTGGGCTACAAGCTCCATATCAGTCAGAGCTGAAAGGAGAGGAAATACTCTTTAGGTAAAGCTGGTCAATGTGAAAAACATCACAGTTTAGATGAAGAGAAACCCAAATGACATTTCCAAATCCCCAGGGGAATAATGGAAAAGAAGTTCAGAGTCACACTGGGAGTAGTTTGCATTCTGATATCGTACACAGCTGGAAAAAAGCAAAAAACGTTTTAATCTGTTTTCCCAGGGTTCGTACTACTCTTGACCTTCTGCCATTGTTTATGCCACCTTCACCATGAACACAGCTGGGTAATTTCAAGAAATAACACTTCCATCTAACATACAAAGTGTTATTGGTATGACCCTTGGAGAATCCTAAAACTACTGTAGTTGCAAGTAAAATATGAGGGAGCATTCTCCCCCAAGAAAAATTTTAATTATTCTAGCTAATGTGTAGCTTAATTTTTTTCTTTACAGAGTTTGCTATACTATAGCTTCATAGTAGGGAAAATTAAAGGTATTTTCATCTAACCACTTTTAGGGAAACTTAAGGAAAATGTACTGGGCTACAGATAAACTCTTGTTACTTAAAATGTCATCCATAGACCAGCAGCACTAGCAACATGTGGGAGCTTTTTAGTAACGCACAATCTCTCACTCCACCTAGAAACTACTGAATCCAAATCTGCATTTTAATATAATCCCCAGTCAATTTGTGTACACAGTCTAGCTTCAGAAATACGGATTATGCCATTGAGAGGCATCAGGTAATAGAAGACCTAAGGTACAAATCTTCGAAATGGATGATCATAGATATGTACCTGAACTACAGAGATAGACAAGAAGATAGAAGAGTGGAGATTGACCCTTGTGAGGTAATGAGTCACCTGGTAAAAAGCAATTTGATCTTTGGTCTTGGTTCCTGAGAGCTGGACCACACCTGAAATTAACGAATGGGGGATGACCAAGAGGGACCACCTGGGGGCCTGATGTTGACTAGCCCAGGAGGCATGATGTAGTCTATCATGCACACTTGGGGAGGCCAATAAGCACCTTGAAAATAGAGGCTCAGATGAGCTTCCTTGTTGGAGAACATGGATGACCTTCTTTGGGACATGGAAGCTCCATGCTGCAGCCCCTCCCAGGGTTACCCTATGCATCTGTTTGTATCCTTCTTGAGAGTAATATAACTTTAGTCATAAGTATTGTATATTCTCCGTGAGATTCATCCAGTCATTCCAACAAATTATCAAACCCACTGTGGCAGTGAGAGCCAGCAGGGGCTGGTGTCTCTTTCTCCTTTGTGAGCTCTAACCTACCTCTGGTTGGCTAAGGTGACAGAAATGCGGCATGAGAAGCTGGTCTGAAAGAAAGTACCCTTCTAACTTGTGAGCTCTGACCTACATCTGAGCTACAGAGTTGGAAACAGAGTGCCACAAGGATAGAGAAGCAAGAAGGTGAGGACTAAATCCATCCCCACATTTTGAGGATTGACTTCATGTTAATCCTTACCATGCAGTTGGACACAAAGGTGAGATTTACCCTCTTTACCCCTTACTAAGTGCAACCTAATCTAATCAATGGCATTAAAATAGCACAAGAATGAATGTGTCAATAGACCAGCATTGGCCACCACGAATAATGGAAATATAGGGTCCAATGAGTAGAATTAGCAATGCTTATTCAATCGTGGCCTAAATGACATCTTCCTCAGGACAAGTCCCCTCTATTTGCTCTATTTATGCCAACTAAATAGCCCCAATGATTATAAGTGGGCCTCCCTCTTCAAGTTTCTCCTGAGACAAGCTAAGCATGGTCAAGGTATACTCTGTTGATTGGGGACAGATTAATACCTTTAGATACCTGGAGCACTGAAATGAACATGGTGCCTGCCCCTACCATGTAATTCATATCTAAAAACAATACAAAATGAGTTTAAGTAAGGTCTACAGAGTTCTGCTATTGTGGGTATGTATAACTCTAAAATTCTTTCCCCCTCTAGAATGTACCCCCAAGGTACTGAATTGCAATTGCAGCATAAACTCAAAGTTTGTTATTGTTAGGTGCTGTTGAATCGGTTCCCATCCATAGTAACCCTGTGTGCAACAGAATGAAACATCACCCTGTCCTGCACCATCCTCATAATCATTGTTATGCTTGAGCGCATTGCTGCAGCCACTGTGTCAATCCATCTTTGAGGGTTTTCCTCTTTTTCACTGACCTTCTACTTTACCAAGCGCGATGACTTTCTACAAGGGCTGGTCCTTCCTAATAATATGTCTAAATTATGTGAGATGAAGTTTCGCCATCCTTGCTTCTAAGGAGACTTCTGGCTGTACTTCTTTCCAAATAGATTTGTTTGGAATCCAGCTTGAATTTCTGGCAGTTCCCTGCTGATGTACTGCTGCAACTGCTTTTGATCTTCAGCAAAATTTTACTAGTGTATGATATTAATGACATTGTTCAATAATTTCCGCATTCAGTTGGATCACCTTTCTTGGGAATAGGCACACATATGGATCTCTTCCAGTCGGTTGGCCAGGTAGCTGTTTTCCAAATTTCTTGGAATAGATGTGTGAGCACTTCCAGTGCTGCCTCCATTTGTTGAAGCGTCTCAATCGGTATTCTGTCCATTCCTGGAGCTTTTTTTTTTGTCAATGCCTTCAATGCAGCTTGGACGTCTTCCTTCAGAACCATCGGTTCTTGATCATATGCTGCTTTCTGAAATGATTGAACCTCGACTAATTCTTTTTGGTACAGCCACTCTGTGTATTCCTTTCATCTACTTTTTATTCTTCCTGAGTTGTTCGGTATTTTGCACATGTCGTTGTTAGGTGCCATCAGATCTGTTCTAACTCATAGTGACCTTATGTACAACTGAACAAAACACTGTCCAGTCCTGCACCAACCTCACAATCATTGTTATGCTTAAGTCTATTGTTTCAGCCACTGCTTCAATTCATCTTGTTGAGGGTCTTCCTCTCTTTCGCTCACCCTCTACTTTACCAAGCATGATGTCCTTCTCAAGGGACTGTTCCCTCCTGATAACATGTGCACATATGTGAGATGAAGTCCTGCCACCCTTGCCTCTAAGGAACATTCTGGCTGCACTTCCTCCAATACAGATTTGTTCATTCTTCTGGCAGTCCATGGTATAGTCAATATTCTTCACCAACACCATAACTCAAAGGCATCAATTTTTCTTCTATCTTCATTGTTCATTGTCCACATTTCACACACATATGAGGTGATTGAAAACACCGTAGCTTGAGTCAGGTGCATCGTAGTCCTTAAAGAGACATCTTTGCTTTTCAACTCTTTAAAGAATTCTTTTGCAGCAGATTTGCCCAATGCTATGTGTCATTTGATTTCTTGACTGTTGCTTCCGTGGTCATTGATTGCAGATCCAAGCAAAATGAAATCCTTGACAACTTCAATCTTTTCTCTGTTTGTCATGATGTTGCTTATTGGTCCAGTTGTAAGGATTTCTTTTTTTTTTTTATGTTGAGGTGTAATCCCTACTGAAGGCTGTAGTCTTTGATCTGCATCAGTAGGTGTTTTAGGTCCTCTTCATTTTCAGCAAGCAAAGTTGTGTCATCTGCATAACAAAGATTGTTAATGAGTCTTCCTCCAATCCTGATGCCCTGTTCTTCTTCCTGTAGTCCAGCTTATTGGAATATTCGCTCAGCACACAAACTGAATAAGTACGGTGAAAGGATACAACCTTTCTTGACTTTAAGCCACACAGTATCCCCTTGTTCTGTTGAATGACTGATTAGAATCCTTCAGTATTACACCTTGAGGCTTGTTTTTGTTTTTTCTTCAGTTCTTTCAACTTAAGAAATGGCCAGTGTGTTCTTCCCTTTTAGGTTTCTAACCCCAGGTCTTTGCACATGTCGTTATAATACTTTACTTTGCCTTCTCGAGTTGTCCTTTGAAATCTTCTGTTGAGCTCCTTTACTACATCATTCCTTCTGTTCACTTTAGCCATTCGACATTCAAGGGCAAGTTTCAGAGACTCTTCTGACATCCATTTTGGTCTTTTCTTTCTTTCTTGTCTTTTTAATGATCTCTCGCTTTCTTCATGTACGATGTTCTTGATGTCACAACTCATCTGGTCTTCGGTCTTTAGGTCATTAGTGTTTCATGCATCAAGTCTATTCTTAAGATGGTCTCTAAATTCAGGTGGGATATACTTAAGGTTGTACTTTGGCTCTCGTGTACTTACTTGTTCTAATTTTCTTCAGCGTCAACTTGAACTTGCATAAGAGCAATTTATGGTCTGTTCCAGAGTCATTCCCTGGCCTTGTTCTGACTGACAATATTGAGCTTTTCCATTGTCTCTTTGCACACATGTAGTCGACTTGATTCTTGTGTATTCCATCCAGCTAGGTGCATGTGTATAGTTGCTGTTTATGTTGTTGAAAAAGTTATTTGCAGTGAAGAAGTCATTGGTCTTGCAAAATTCTATCATGCAATCTTCAGCATCATTTCTATCACTAAGGTCATATTTTCCAACTACTGATCCTTCTTCTTTGTTTCCAACTTTCACATTCAAATCACCAGGAATTATCAATGCATCTTGATTGCACGTCTGATCAATTTCAGACTGCAGAAGTTGGTAAAAATCTTCAATTCCTTCACCTTTGTCCTTAGTGGTTGGTGCTTAAATTGGAATAATAGTCATATTAACTGGTCTCCCTTGTAGGCTTATGGATATTAGCCTATCACTGACAGTGTTGTACTTCAGGATAGATCTTGAAATGTTCTTTTTGACAATGAATGCAATGCCATTCCTCTTCAACTGGTCATTCCTAGCATAGTAGAACATGTGATTATCCAATTAAAAATTGCCAATACCAGTCCATTTCAGCTCACTAATGCCTAGGATATCGATCCTTATGTGTTCCGTTTCATTTTTATGATTTCCAGTTTTCCTAGATTCATACTTTGTACATTCCATGTTCCTATTATTAGTGGATGTCTGCAGCTGTTTCTCCTCATTTTGAGTCGTGCCCCATCCGCAAACAAA